GCGCCTGCTCCCCGAGAAACAGACCCAGAAATCCTTCATGGTCAGGATGGGTTTTTACGTTTTTTGTATCCTTAGTGCCCAGCGGGGAACCTAAAATAGAACCACTGGTAAAAAGGAAGAAAAGAAGGACGGGAGGGATGGACGGGGACGTGGGCTGAGGAATGAGTGAGCACTGCCACCCCCTGTCCGGTCTCAGCCTCTGTCCCCCACGGCAGCACGGGCGTCGGGACTCGCACGGACACCAAGAGGCTGCGGGCGGTTTCTGTGCTGATCACTCGGCCTGCGGACGCCGCAGTAAGGGCACATCCAGGCTCCGAGTCCAGCGTGAAATGCTCCCCGGACAAAGAGTCCGTGTTCACAGCATCCGCACACCTGGAGCCCAGACGCTGGAAAGTGAAATTTTATATAAACAAATGAAATAAGCATGTGTGCGCGTGCACGCATGCGAGAGAGAGAGAGAGAGAGAGAGAGAGAGAGAGAGAGAGAGAGCGAGCGAGCGAGCATGCGTGCAGCAAGCACCATCATAAACCTTTGCTCCCTTTATTCAAGGTTTGAAGACATCAGGCTTTTTGGAGGCGCTCTGTTTAGATTGAGCCAACTTAAGACATTTTCATTGAATTTGCTGGAGATCACAGAACTTTCATGCCAATATAACTGGAGCCTGGCTGTCCACACCACGTGGTGCCAACGTGGAGAGGAGGAAAGGCAGGCTCCAGGACCTGGAAATACTTTCCCGGCCATTCCAGGGGGCACAGTAACGGCCCCAGGCGCACAGGGCACAGCCGGCCAGGGCCCTCCGTGGTCCCGCCTTAATCTCCAAACGGCACAGCTGCTCTCCAGATGCGCCAGCTGCGGAGCTTTGTTCTCAGAGCCGGTTTCACGCTCATCTTTGTGAATAAAGGAGCTCAACTGTTTAGAAGGAAAGGGAGTTGCCCCCTGGAAGGAAACCACAGCTCTGACAAAGTGGCGCAGGGAGGGAACAGACGTGCGAAGCCATTCCCTTGGTCCCAAATGACTTCAGAGCTCCCCACAAACTCAACCTGGAAGCAGGGACGCAGCACCACAGGTAGCGTTTCTGCGTACGGGAGACTCCACTCCCTCCCTGGGGTCCCACCAGGCCCCTTCCTCTGCCCCTCGCCTGCCCAGGTGCTCCTCACCTGCCCAGGCCTCCCCCTGGCAGCGGGCGGACAGGCTGGGGACAGCGGGTGCACCTGCGTCTCCTCACTGCGAAACGGCCCCTCTGTTATGAGGAACTGTTTTTGACCTCCCCAAAGGGGAGGGCTGGAGGCTGAGGACTTGCTCCAGAGCCACACCTAGAAGGCGTCGCAGGGAGAGGGCCGCGCCAGGGCGGGCGAAGCTGAGCAGTGAAAGGCCTTTCATCCCGCACCTTCCTGCAGGTGGGGGGAGGCTCTGCGAGCCAAACGGCACAACCGCGGGCTTTCAACGTGGAGCTGGTCTCAGAGGAGCAGTTCCCCAAAAAGTGTCAACAGCCACTGTGGAATACGAGACCTCACAACCAAAACCGCAACCTTGCAGCCAGCAGGAAGCTGAAAGGTATTTTTGAGCAGAATTTCATTTGTAATGGACACACAGATCTCTTCCTTTTTTTTTTTTTAAGAACATTTTTGCCCTTTGTCACTCTGTGCATTCAATTTCTATTATGAAAAAATTAAATATCAAAACACGTGGAGAATAATGCCCGTGTAGCTATTTGTCACCCTACAGGAATAGTAGCATTCTAGCATGTTGCTTCATATCCATTGAGAAACGAAATGTTACAAAGGTTCCTGTGTTCCCACCCCCAAGTCACACGTGTGCTCCATGATGCTGGCATGTGGCTTCTATGATTTCGTGTATCCACTCCATACACAGGTATCCTCAGATACTTAGGCTGGTTTTTAATTTATGCAAATGGATTCATACCACACATAGGTAAGGTTTGGTAACTTTTTTCATCTACCACTTTATTTTTTAGATCTATTTGTGTTAAAACGTGTAACTCTAATTCATCTTAACTTTTACGGGCTGCAGGCACGATACAAATACATTCTACAACTCATCCCTTGCAGATGTGGACTTAGCTTCATTGTTACAAATGTCGCTGCACCAAAGATCCTCAAACGCGTCCTCATGTCTGAGCATTTCTTTGGGGTATATGTATATAAAAGGAGAATGACTGGGGACAGGGGTGCACAGTTTTTACTGCAGCAGGTATCAACCAACGGCTCTCCGGAACAGACGCGTCAGCTCATCCCGGTAGCTGCCCGCGCCTTCCCATTTGCCCAGATGGTCCGTTATGAAACCATCCGACCTCTCGATGGTGGTCAAGGTGATGGCGCAGAATGTACCACGTTGTTGAGTTAGATATTCACCAGCCCGCATCCCCTAACCACCGCTGAGCATCCGCTCCTGTGACTGGACATTTGCAGATTTCTCCTTTGGAAAGTCCCTGTTCGTAGTCTCTGCCTGGGTTTTTTCCTACTGGGTCATTAATCATGTTCTTAACGGTTTATAAAAAGATCTTTGCATTTTGATTAGCAGTTGTTTGCCGCAAATGTCTGCTCCACATCTGCCAGCTGCACAATGAGTTTCAAAATGCAAACTGGGAAGCCGTCTGCCTACAGGACCCCTGAAATGTGAAACTGGGGTGCCATCCCGGGTCCAAAGAGAAGAGGTCGCATAGCTTCGCGAGCTGCAAACACCACCAGACCCGTGCAATCGTCACACCACGTAGGGGGCACCTTACACTCTTCAAGGCATCTTTCAGTCACCTCATTTCAGCCTCGCAAAAGCCTGTGAGTCCCACTTCCTCCCCTGCGGATGAAGGGACCAGCCAGAGGTGGGTCGTTAAGATCTTGATGGTCCAATTCTGACCCATCATCCTGATTTTGCAGCTGGGACCATCTAGACCCAGAAGAGCAGACAAACATGTCTGAAGGCACAGCCCTGCTCATGGGTAGAGAAGGACCTGCAACCTTGTCACTCGGTCCCTCGAGTGGTGTCTGTCTCCCCAGAGAAAGTCCACACCAGGGGGGCAGCCCCAGGAGACGGGGGTGGAGGCGGGAAGGTGCGGATCCCTGGCAGCCACAGTGCTGTCAAACGACCTTCCAGAACATGGGACGGTGAGAGCAACCCCTCTTCACCCATGCAGGTGAGCTGCCCCAGCGTCTCCTCCCCCGACAAGAAGAGGCCATGTGAATGCAAGAATGAACTTCATTGACCACTTTTATTGAGCAGTGACCGTGGGGACCCCACGCTGCACTGAGCGCCGCATCGTGAGACGTTACCAGATGTCACTGCTAGAGGCCCGATTCTGTCACAAAGTGAAAGGGGCAGAACCCAGTGCTTTTTAAAATTATCATTCCATGCAGAAGCATTGACTCAACCAGACGTTACATCTGACACTGTAAGCGAGGGGGAGTGGCTCTCCTTCTCCGTATCAGAGAAGCCTGACTGTGGCACCACTGGAACTAGGACCCCTGAGAAGGAAGACCCGTGGCAGCCAGTATGACGTTCTTCGCCAGCCATGTGTCCCCAAGCCCCCAGCACACAGCCACGTGGAGACAGCCCTCTGGTTGTGCGGCACGATCAGCAGCCTTGGCCAGCTCGGGCCACTGTGTTCCTCACGCTCTGGGGGCAGGTGGAGCCCTGCTTACGGGTGGAGGAGGACCTACAGCCTCATCACCCGGTCCCTCGGGCGGCATCCATCTCCCCAGAGAAAGTCCACATCAGGACAGTGGCCCCAGGACATTGGGCGGAGGCAGGAAGGTGGGAGGCTCGGGCAGGCCCGGGTGTATCTGGAGACAACCACGTTCCCGTTTCTGGGCACACTGTCTGCCAGAGGGACAGGCCCGACCCTCAGGGGACACCTCCGTTTCCCCCGGGGCCCGGCCTTCCTGAACTTCTTGTGTTGAATTCCTTCGGTTTTACTTCCTTTTGTTGGTGGTTTTTTTTTTTAAATGAAAATACAGACTCTTAGGAAGGCCAGTGCAATCTGAATATGCCCTTAATATTTCGCCCTGTGGCTTATAATGCAGAATCGCTTGTCTCTGTGATTGCAGGACAGGATTGCGAAACATTTTCTTTTCTTGCCTTGGCTGAGGAGTCACTGCAGCTCAAAGAGCTGGAAGGACGCCTGGCGCCCGAGAGATGTTCCACGAGCATCTGTAAAATGAATGAACAGGCGGCGGCCGGTGTCCGGTGGGCTTGGCAGCCTCTCCTACTAATGCGAGAGCTTCAGAGGGTTAGCAGAGTTTAGGGTGGCTGAGGAATTCACTTGGCAGCTGCAGGACAGATGAAAACCAGCCCCAAAGAGTCCCGCGGCAGCCCTCTCCGCTGCAAATGCTGACCTGGGCGAATGTGCTCAGACACACCCTGGCGCTGCCGCTTGTTTGAACGGCTCCTTAACGAAACCTCGGCGGACGGCCCGCGTGTCCTCGGAAAGGTTTTTCTGCTACATCAACGTTTTACGAGAGTTTGAGACCGAACACTGAAGACAAGCTTCTAAGAAACACCGTCTAGCTGTGGGGAATACAAAGCCGGAGCCTTTCCCCACGAAACCCGTATAACGCCCCTGAGTGACAGATACGCCTGCACACAGGGGACCTCGGAACGTGCCAACTGCTGCTCCAGGAAAAGCGTCCAAGCGGCAGGACGTCAGCAGAGCAGCTGCCCAGGCCACGTGGCCGGGACCTCTGGAGCACAGCCCACGCCCGCGAGCACTGAGGGTGGCCCTGGTGCTCACGCGGAGGTGGCGGCCGGTGCCTGGGACACGGTGCGTCTGTGCAGGCTGCCCCGAGTCCCCAGCCCGGCCAGCTTCCTCCGCGCTCCCTGAACTGTCTGTCCTGAGAGTACGTTTGAGGATGGTCCGTGAAAAGAGGAAAACAGGACGGCCGGGCTCATGGGAGAGCAGCGGTTCCAGAGAACCAGCACATCCACGCTGCCACCTGAGACGCAGCCTTCCCAGCGCCTTGGGAATACTCTCCTGCATGCGGGGAGAACAGGACAGCCGACAGGGACTCAAAGGAGCGTCTTTCTACCTACGGCGATCACGCCCTTCAGACAAACAGGCAGGACCCCCTCCAGCCTGCCGGCCGCGGCGCCCACGCTCAGTTGTAGGAGAGGTAGTCGATGAGCCGGGGTGGGATGTTCAGCTTGGCGATCTTCTCCAGCCCGCGGACGCCGGTGGCCTTCCGCAAGCTCACCCTGCAGAGCTGCGACAGAGTCAGAGGCGTCTCTGCAACCAGGGAGGGGGGAAGCACGCGAGGTTAGTTTCAGGAAGGCGCACAGCACCCTGCAAGCTACACCGAGTAAGACAGAGCTGGAAAAGCCTCCCTCCCCTGGAAATAGCGTGCACCCCGCATGCCTTCTCGGCAAGGACAGCGGGGACCCAAGGAAGTGACACCAGGAAATGGAAATGGGGTGATGTCCACTGGAATTTCACTGCATGAGTTTTGGGGGTTTGTTTTGTTTTCTTTGTTTGAGCCACAGCGTTATAAAGAAATACCGTGTGGCTAGCAGGCTCCTTTGCCAGATGTCTGGCCAGAGGAGGCACGCGTCCAAGGGTGGTGCTGGTGGCCAGCTCCTGCCGCAGCCCACAGGGACCCCAGCACAAAACAGCCCAGCAGACAAAGCCCTCACAGACACGGGAGCTCAGGACTAACGACGAAGCCCTCCGCGGAAGCTCAGGGAGACCCAGCAGAACGAGGGCCCGGCTGTAGGACGGGGCCCACGACTGGGGCTCAGGGACACAGACACCGCGCGGCCACTCACTCTCGTAGTACTCGAGGCACTTGGCGGGGGCGGTGCTGCTCCATGTGTAGTCCGACGGCTTCTTCCCGCGGTTGTCCCGGGCGTAGATGTTGCCTCCAAATTCGACGAGCATCTCGATGAGGTCGACGTTCTTCACCTTGGCCGCGTGATGAAGGGCCGTCTCGTGAAGTTTCGCCGCATTCACGTTGGCCCCTGGAGGTCCAGAGCGGAGAACAAATGTCACCAAGGAGAGAACTCGGAGCCAGGAGATCAATCAGCTCGCGCTTCTCGCCGGGCACGGTGGGTGCGCAAAGGTGACCCCCACCCAGAAGACAAAATCAAGACGGACCCTGCTGTAGCTTTCTCAAAAACGTTTTCCAAAATCCGAAAGCAGTAATGACTCTTTCTTTTTCCTTATGAGAAGAGAGCTAAGACAGGTGGCAATAATAAAGACCTAGAACTGGAAATAGAACCAAAAAGAAGAAAAACAAAACAAAAAAGTTCCTCAAGAGTTAAAGGTCAGCGCTAGTGCCCTAGGCAGTCTGCTTCGGTCTCCGGAAGCCCAGGCTGGGTGACCCAAGCCTGGCCTCGAACACACACACCGCTTTTTCCCAATGTGGACACAGGACAGAAGCCCCAAAGATATTGGTTGAATGAAAGAATATTCCTAAAATACAAATATTCTTGTACAGAAGGAGAGAACAAAGGGAGAGCAGGTCATGTGCCCAAAAGGACATGAGTTTGGATTAGACATTAAACCTCTTAGCCGTGAATTCAGCTCTGCCCTCCTCCTCTTTCTCAGGATGACAGCAGATATTCAGAAAGATGCAAAGAATTAGTAGCTAAATAGGGCATTTTTCTAGGCATTAAAAAGATGAAGATTTTGATAAAAACACAATTTGTGTAAAACACCATTCTTAGGGCAGGGCTATCACCAATTCTAAACGACCCGATCTCCTGGGCCCTCGGGATTTTTTTTGTTTGTTTTGGAAGAAAATACCGTCTTCTTTGAAGTCTGCTCCTTAGTAGACAAGAGGTTATAAGAGAAAAGTATTTTAAAGAAGCCAAGCAAACAGCCCGGCATCAGTAAAGGAATCCCGCAAATAACAGGTTCAAATCACAATCGTAAAATGTTATCAAAAGTGGGGTTTTTAAAAGTCAGACCACCAGTATGGCTACCACTTAAGGATAATTTTAGAGGGTCGAAAGAGAAGAAAATGAGGGGTATGAGGCTATTACATCTTCTAGTCCCTCTGCTCAAAAAGTATCTGAAAAATCCTGCTTTCTGCTTCCTGATTTAAAATATTTTTAATCTCCTAATACGATAGAACGTAAGACCCACGTTCATAACGGTGCTCAGGGTGTGACCCTAAGCGTGCAGCCAGCACAACACGGGACAACACGCATGAGGAAAGGTCCTTTCGCCTCCCGCAGCCAACACTCGGGGTGCAGCTCTGGAAAAAGGATCCTTCGGTCAGGAAGAAGGCCAGACTGCCTAATTACTGACTCTGGCAGGAATGTATTCCAAAAATAATATTAAAAACCAATAAATCAAATACCAGTAATATTTCCCCCACAATCCGACCACTCTCTCACATCAGGGGTTCTCTTGCCATAATTGCCTATAGGAATGAGTCATTTTATCGTGCTGCAATCATAATGCAAACATAAATTTTAAGGCCGGGCGTGGTGGCTAACGCCTGTAAATCCCAGCACTTTGGAAGACTGAGGCAGGAGGACTGCTTGAGGCCAGGAGTTCAGGACCAGCCTGAGCAAGAGCGAGACCCACTCGCTACATAAAATAGAAAAATTAGCCGGGCGTGGTGGCACATGCCTGTAGTCCCAGCGACTCGGGAGGCTGAGGAGGGAGGATCGCTTGAGACCAGGAATCTGAGGTCGCTGTGAGCTAGGCTGACGCCACTGCTCTCCAGCCTGGGTGACAGAGCTGTCTCCCAATAAATAAATAAATAAAATTTAAGCTAAACACACACTTGTAATGACAAATAAACCGCAACGTCCACGGAATCTACCATCCAAGTAGCTTTCACTTAGGTCATTAATCCTGGCCATGTTCTTGCCAGTCGGGAAGGAAAGCGATTATCTCTATCTGAACCGTGGAGACAGGCCCAGGGGGGCAGAGATGCTCTCTCACGGTCGGAGAGAAAATTGCAGCTGAAATGCACCTAAACATCTCCCCTCCCTGCGTGCTCCTTGGCCTCGGGCAGGGGGCTCTTTCAGAGAGGAGCCTTCCCGGGAACACCAGGGGTTCCTTTCAAAGTATGTGCTGGGCACCGCCGGACTGGGCGTGACAGGGAGGGAATGGGAGTCTTCCGCAGGCGACAGAGACGCCAGACCAGGAGAGCCCACGGCAACCTGCTGATCTGGAAAGTCCGGAGCCGAGTGAGGAAGGAAGAAACAGAGTAAGTCTATGACGCGATCATTTATGTCCATTAAAAACATGTGCCTCGGCCGGGCGCGGTGGCTCACGCCTGTAATCCTAGCTCTC